TTGTCCATTTTTACTGAAAATCCATCGATGAAACCTGTGAGGCAAAAAAACAAACACTCGGTGTAATAAAGTATAGTAACTGGTTGAGTACTTGAGAGAAAAAAAACATTGGCTTAAAAAGGCATGGAAACTTAATCCCAGCTTCTCAACCATGCAGACAGAGAGGCAACAGAGACTTAAGTGATCTTTGTATTGGATGTCGATGAGCTTGTAATCAATGAAGTGCCTCATTAAAGTTTTTAGTAGCTTGGCATGAGAGTGGAGAGATTCGTGTTACTCAAACACAGACCTAAGAAAGATAAGGATAAGTCGAGGGGAGGAGAAAACGAGGGAGAAACTATGTGAAGAAAGAGGAAACCGTTATAAGGAGTTAGAAGTGAGGAACATCAATTTTATGAAAAGAAAGCAGATCATTAAGATGCTGATGAAGAGAAAGAAGACGCAGAAAAGGACAAAAAACAAAAACAAAAAAGGATGTAAACAAGATCAAAAAGAGGAAAAGACAAGGGGGGAAAAAAGGAAGAAGGGTGACGACATTGCAGCTATAAAAGCAGCTAATTTGTCTGTGTGAAAGAGAGTGTGCCTGTTTGGCATCTGGATTTGTTTACAGGCGAAAGTAACCCCGTGTAAAATCTGGCCAGGCTTCAGACTCCTGCTACACACCTAAACATGCACACAAACTATTTCAGCACTCGCTTTGTTCGGTGTTGTGTAACTTTACACCAAATCGCATTTGCCAAAGGCACAACCAAGTTAAACGGCCTAAAAAAACAAGAAGTACCTCAGCACTGAAATCTGCACTTGGAAAAACATTTTGTCCTTCATAAAAATCACCCATGTGATCAGAGGAGAGCCACACAATTGATAGTGGAGCAAATGAAATGGAATGTTATGAACAGAGCCACAAATAGACCAGAGAGGAGATTTGACTGAGTGCAAATACAGCAAAGTGGTGTTTCCAGAAAAACTCATCTGATATCATTGGAAACGGCTGAATCTCTTCAATAGAACTGTTTTTACAGAATATTTCATGGTGTAATTTGGCTGTAACTAAGTGCTTTGTCTTTATTTTATGTTGTGCTAGATAAAACCTAGATCTAAATCCTCCAAATGAACCACAATTTTCTAAACAGTGGGGAATCTCGAATCACTTTTTTCAACGTGAACCAGTTAGGATGGAGAAAAAACTGTGAACATGTAAGCAACTCAATGTCAAATCACAAACAACATTGGGTATATAAAGGGAGCACCTCAGAGAAGCAGAGTCTCTGCTAAAATGAACTGAGGTTTACAAATCTGAATGGAAAAAAAACTACACCATGCAGATCCAAAGTCTGGAGAAATATTAGAATGTTACCCCCTCTACAGGTGATTGCAGACTTTGAATAAATATCCATGTGGAATCTCCAGGTCCAAAACTGGATGCTCATGGCCTTGTGGCCCTCAGGCGACATTACATTACACATAGGTATGATTCCATCTTAGAAATCTCTGTGTGGATGCCGTCTTCTCCTGAGTAAAGAGGAAAGGGATAACTTAGCTGGTTATCAGCCTTCAAGCACAGTTTCTGATGTAACTGCAACAGCATCATTTCCCTTTGAGAAAAATCTAACTTCATGAGGGCATCTGTGAGTGTGACTGATAATTTGTACAACCTGGTAAAGCACCTCAGTGCTGGCAGGAACATTGAGAGCAGCATTTTCTGGACTTTTGAGCAGCTACTATCCTGTATCAGATTAGAGAGGAGTTACATTTCCCTCCCAGTTGGTGTCCTCCAGGGCTGGATAAGAACATTGTTTTTAAAATTGCCCCGGCATTTGGCAGCATCTGCCTGAAACGTTTCTCCGTTCTCCTCTCTGGGTATGATTGATGATTGACAGTTGTGACCTAGGAGGGAAGGGGCATTGGCCACCGGCTGTTGTAATAGGTCCAGTCCATAAAGAATCATGACTAATGGGCAGATCTTCCAGATTTCTGTACCAATAAGCAGGAAAAAACACTAGCCTAGGGAAAAATGGCCAGTCCAGAGGAGTCTGTACTATTTGCTTTTAATTTGATTAATGAATGATTGTTTTCATAATGTTTCTATTAGCCTTTTGTGATTTTATGTAGCTGTAAAGCACTTTTACTTTTACTCACTTTTACTTTTACTCAAGACTTTGATCTATTTGTTATTCAAAGATATTGGTTTGCCTAACATTCATGTTTTTGGATGATGAGAGTAAGCTTTACTGAAATAAAATCTTAAACAGCCTTTGTTTGCAAAGGTGTCTGATATTACACGAAGCAAAGCAGTACAGTGGGCTACACGTTTCCTGTTTTTAAAGTTTGATTGCATTCTTACTGATGGGCAGATGGGGAGATGTGTTACCATTCAACACGTTCTGTAGTTTCTCCTCAAGAGCTGAAAACTCAGAATTCACATTCCTTTCACATCTTTTATGGGTGAGACCGTCTTCTGATACACGCTTCTTTCGTGTCGTGGTACCTATTCCATGAAAATAAAAAATCGGCTGCAAACTGGATCAAGAAAGTGGGAAAGAGACATAAGGGAGAAAAAAATCCTCTTATAGACAGATGGTGGGAAAAATCTCTGTCAGATGTTTTCGCACCTTCCTGTCAATGCTCTCCCTCTGTCCGCTGTCATTCATGCTGTCTCTTTCCAGACATGTGGCGGTGATTATGCTTATGGAAACAAACGAGACTAGAAAGAGACATCAGGAATAGCGGCTGGGACTTTGGGGCAGTGCTGCTCGCACAAATCAAACTCGGTCCACAAACTAATACCTTCCAGCTCTTTTACTCGATCTGTCAGTCGATAATGCGTTGGTCTATAATCCCTTTGAGAAGTCTGGGATTTCAGATTTACGTTGACGTGAACCGAGCATCCAAAAGCAACTCCACGCACACACATGAAGCATAGACAACACATGCGCGCCTACTAACCTGCTCGTGGTACTCGATGCCCATGCTGAGGGTGTTGATCAGAATGGCGATCATAATCCCTCGGCCAAAGTACTTGCTGTCCACAATCTTTCGGAACGTGTCGCACACCAGCCTCCAGAAGCGCACGGCCTTGGCCGCGCTTTTGCCCAGCCCTTGGCCCTTCTTCCTGGGCTGCCGGCTGTCTCTCCTATCCCGGTGGTGGAGGTCCTGGGTGAATTCGTACACGCCGTCGCTGTCCGAGTCGCCGGGGGTCTCGGCCCCGCCCTCCGATTCGCTGGCCAGGGCTTTGGCGCAGTAGGGGCAGCTCTCGGGGTCGAGGGTCAGAGCGGCCGTGTCCATGGCACTGCTTGTGCTGCTGAGGTCGCGGGCCGACAGCTGGCAGGAAAGCTGGGCTGCGAACGGGTGGAGAAAGGTCAGATGGAGAGCCTCAGACAAAGAAGGGTGCAGCAGGGAAATCTGCACCACTGTGATAACGCAAGCACGGCGATTAAGACTAACTGCCAAATTCAGCCTACAAAGCCTCCTGTGAAAAACAACTTATTTTTTTTGTTTGACAGCTGCGTTTGATGCTTTGTCTTTGTCAGTCTGTGCTGCAGCGTTTCTGGCTGGTTACCAACACCTACGCCATCTGCACAACCTGAGCCGATCTGGCCTGACTTTCGCTTGAGCCCTTTTAGAATTTGGCTGTGGGACGACTGCAGCTGGCTGCGGGCTCGAAAGATAAAGGACTGACATTTATTAGCTGTAATTAGCAATCAGTGACTCATGAAAAACATCATCCTCTGGACAGTGTTTTGGTTTGAGGCTTAAAATCAATAAATTGACTCCATGCTGAGCCAAACAGGGAAAAAAACAAACTGCCCTTTGTGTATCACTTAATTAGCTTCAATACTGACAGAGAAAATTAAACACTGCTTTGATAAAGTCATGTTCCATCCCTTTTAAGCAAAAATGAACCCTGCCCCACACAACTCGCACAGAGGGCTGTGAGAATGGAAATGTAGTCGATTGAGCATGTTTCAATTCACGGTGGCTGTGTCCATGGCTGTGGTGTGTGTATGTGTACCTGCTGGGGTGCCTGCGTCCACCAGGCTTGACGGTCGCCTCTCCAGGGTCATGGGGGGGATATTGAGGTTGAAACTCGTACTAGTCAGGGTGCTGGCGGCGGCGCTCCCTCGCCTGGACTCTGCCAGGGCCCGCGCCTGAAGGGTGGGGTAATTCTTGGGCCCCGGACCAGCAAAGGGAACAGAGTTCCTCTTCATGGCCTTGGATGCGGGAGCGGGTGCCAGGAAGGTGGATCCCAGGCTGGCGGGCACGGGGGTGCGGCGGAGAGCCTCCGCGTTGAGGACGCTGTAAACCGACGCCGAGTCGGCAGTTCCCGCCACGGGGTTGGACGAAGTGGCGAGGTTCGTGTCGGAGGCGGATGAGGTTATAGACGACGGCTGCCCGCCGGCGGGGCTTGCTCTGAGGGCCCCGGCCTCAACGTCCTTGGCCTCCAGACACCGGACGCTCCCTCTGTCCCTCACGCTGCCGTTGACTAGGTGGTAGTGGTGGTGGTGGTGGTAGTGGTGGTGGTGCATCATCTGATGGGCGGACACGGAGCCCTGCCTGGAGGACTTCCTCCTCCGCCTCTGGCTCCTGCTGCGCTGGGGCTCGGTGGGCGGCGGCGTGGCGGCGATGTTGAATCCCGCTCGGCGGGCCAGGAACCGGCAGGCGTGAGCCACCTGCTTGGCCCCCTTTCGGACGACGTGCACCAGGTACTTGAGCAGCTCGTCGTAGCACGAGCCCGGCTCGGAGAGGGACGCCAGGGTGCTGGCGTTGGACATGAAGAGCACCCGCTGCTCCTTCATCAGCTGGCTCTCCCTCTGCTTGGTCTCGGAGAACTGAGTGGCAATGACCACCAGGCACAGGTTGATCATGAAGAATGAGCCAATCTGAGGAGGAGGGGCATACGATAAACTTCAATCCACACGTTCAACAGATCCCAACCTGATCTGGCCTTGGCCGACCCACTTGTTCAATCATCAGCAGACACACACACACACACCCACCCACAGCTGGTGTCCCAATGAAGTGGCACTTACAATGATGAGTAGGATGAAGTAGATGAAGTTATAAAAGGAGTGAGCATCCATCACAAAGTACATGATGTCCACCCAGCCCTCCAGAGTGATCACCTAAAAAGAAGAGCAGGCAGCAAAAGAGCGTGGACGGAAAGATTAGAATTTAAAACAGTAATCCAAAAGAGACAATATTTCACACTCCAGTTTTCCAAAAGCCAACATTCATCGGGAGACTAATCCCCAGGATTCTTTCATTGCTTTTTCCCATACAGGCAATCCGGATCAGAAGCCAGACCCGTGTGGCAGAACTCATCTCTAATCTGGCTTTCAACCAGCAAAATGAGCCACGTGAGCGAGATGGAGATGAATTAAGACTCCACCAAAAAGCCTTTCAGATGATTTACAGAGGGCGAACCAATGATGCGGAGCCCGGAATCTGGCCGCGTGTATGTGACCTGCTAATCCCGTAAGGCTAATTTCTCTGATGCGCCAGTCACTGGGGCAATTAGGCCGCGTTTTCTATGTCGCTCTCTCTGTCATCACCTCCATGAAATGTGTTTAAAAGAACTGCGTGAGAGCCAAACCAACCTGTCAGTGCCCTCGCTGGAAAACTTCAGTTTTAGTGTGTTAAAAATTGGTCTGCGTCCATAGTCATTTTCTACCTGAAAGATGGCAATCCAGGCATAGCAGATGTTGTCGAAGTTGATGGCGCCCTTAAAAGGGTTGATCAGGCCGGCAGAGCAGTTGGTGTAGTACTGGTTCCAGTTGACACAGGTGTTGTTGGTGGTGCTGTTGTAGGAGTCCATATCTAGGGTGCACTGATGGCCTCCCTCCTCGTACAGCCTGGGAATGGAGCCGCAGTCCCTCATGCCGTTATCTTGTGGTATGGAGCAGATGAAGGGGTTCTCATCGTCATTTTCAGTGCGGTAGTAGTTTCCGAGCTCAACAGAAAAGGGGCTTTGGGAGGCGGAGGAAGAGCAAAATATGCATGAGACTGTTAGTTTGTAAATCCATTTCTGTGTTTCAAGTCAGCAAACATAGTCCAAAAAGAGCTGAAAGGGCAACAATTTTAATACTTTGCAATGTTGTCATCCCTTGCCACAGCTCTTAAGAGATCAATAAAGCATTAAATTAACTAAGATGTCGTTCTTTCCTTTTCATTTAACAAACGCACCTGAAGATATGGCATCATAACAGTTGCTGTTTTCAGTCCTCACCATTCTCTGTAGGGAATAGTACCTGTTCCCTCTCCTTCCACAATTACTTAAATCTTTTTGAGATATTATGCAGCATAAAGGGAAAACATCCAGTCTTGCTGAGTCAGTTAGTTTTCCATTCATTTTGGTGATAAACTACAGGTCTACTGTCCAATTTCACTCCACAAGCCGAAGCCTTCTCTGGATGCAATTTTCTAACCAGACAATGATGACATCATTCCCCATTAATCCATTCAAATTGTGGAATTTGTTGCAGACCTAAATTGCTCAAATGTAGTAATGATTGATTGGAAAAAGCTGATTTGTATAATTTTCTCGAGAAATAAAATCACCAGGACAAGGACCTGCCTTTCTCCGTATTTCTATCAACCTGCTGCTTTCTTCAGTTCCCTGCTTGGAGCAGCTCCTGGATTTCTGGGAAGAGCGTAAAGTGGGCCTACAAGAAAGCTCAAAATTCCACAGGTTTTATTTTAATTCACATTCTGCAGAAGCTGATTTCACTGATTAGCACATCGACCAAAAAAGTTAAAAGTAATCAGTAAAGCCAACAGTGACTGGGTGCGAAGAACCTGGTGGCTAAATCACTTGGGAGACCCTTGTGAGTACTAAGCGAGCTGGATGCACACACACACACACACACACATTTGCCTGCAATAGCACCTCTTGGCATATTTGTGGTGAAGCACTCCTCCATCTGGAAAAACTGCAGCGTTGGGCTGCTGATTGGATTACATCTGGCTCATCTGTCAACCCACTTTCAGCCGACGGGCGTTATTAATTGCAAAGTAGTGCCATTGATTTGGTGGGGCTAGACCAATCCGTTGTCACTTCGGAACTACTTCTCACTCCCTTTCCTAAAAGCCGTTTCACACTTTGGGGTGATCCACAAGAGCAGTTATGAGGCTGATGAGCTCAGTTTGTCACACCGACCATTCATCATAGCCCGGCGTGTCACACGGGATGCAGTTCCTGCAGGGTGATCTCAAACACTTTGATTCAGGCTAATAAAAAGATACCATCAGCCCGGCAGGCAGCTGTTGCCGAAGCACTGGAATATATTTGAATAATAGTATGAGCGGTCTTTTAAACAGGCCTGTCTATGATTTTATAAAAGTGCAGAGTTAGGATGAAGCATTCATCTAACACAAAGAGGCAGACCTTCTAAGTACAAGCGGCATGTGATAAAGAAAAGACAATGATGACAAAAATGATGTCTGCTCACCAAAGGCATAATGCATGAACTTAAATTACAGCTGTGAGATGCCATAAATCCTATAGAGAGTAATGAACCCTGGCCGACATGAGGAACATGAATAAGTCATGGGTGCCCATGTTCCATATACCGAACCATGACTCACACGGGGTTTTTCTCATTATTCCAGGGCCCGTCTCGCTCTTTCATTCATCACTGCGATGAAACTAGCATCACTGACCTCACTGACTTTGGTGCACGACCCAGTTTTAAAGTCGGATGAAAGGTTAAGTCCCAAAAAGTGCTATTGGTTTGAAAAATGGTTAAGCACGTAACTCTTGTGGTCTGGCCAGGTCGGCTAAAAACTGTATGCAATGCTGCTCATCTTGAATTTAGTGGGGAAAAAAGTTTGGACCAGGACAAGAAAAAGAATGGAAAAACTGGTGGTAAAGAAAAGACTGGCTGTGCATTTTGAAACTAAGGAGAGAGACTTGATTTCTATGGTTTCATCGAGACACTGCTGAGAGCAAAAGGTATGTGGAGTTTCTGAGGCTTTTCTTAGTCAATAAATGCTCAACTGACAGTTAAGCATGTTATTTTGTTATGGTTTGTCACACACCATCAAACTACATGTCCATCATAACATCCTGGGTCTATGAAGCCTACTAAACGTAAGGTGTAACATGAACTGATCAGCTAAGCTTCATCTAAAAGAGACACCAAATTGGAAATCGCTGTGTTATACACAAATCATCAAGAAAACTTTGTAAAATTGAGCAATTCAATAGCTTGTCCGAGAATATGTTTAAGTTTTAGAACTGTTTTGTGTCCATTAAAACTATGCAACCTGTAGATGCTTTGTTTGGAGAGACAACATTAGTCTCTGTGAGTATTTATAGACATGGAAACAGATATTGATGTCTGATGAGGATCTCTGAGTTGAAGATCAGCTGGCAGGAAAAATCCTTCAATAAAGTACATGACAGAAGTACATTTCTTTTTTCAAAAAACATTATAGTCAGAAAGATACACTAAAATGCACAGTGTGGAACTCACAAGGTGAAGTTGTTTTTGACGAAGCAGCGATTTCGGAGCAGGCCGGCCCACAGCTGGACTCCGACGATGCCGAAAATGAAGAAGACGAAGAAGCAGAGCAACAACACATTGCCCAGCATGGGCAGGGTGTCCAGCAGCAAGGTCACCAGGATCCGCATGCCTGCGGGGAGAGAGAGTGTGGAGGTCAGACAGCCAGGTAGCACACTGCATGCTAACTTTCACACTGTTTTCTGGAACTTATTCTCTGAACAGATACAACAAAACGCCAATGCGAGCGGCGAGGCTTGATCGGTCCACATCTTCGTCTATTAAAGCACCTGTGGTTCTGAGTGATGAAATTAGAAATATCACCTTCCACCTGCTCCCGTTTACGTGCCGACATGAAACTCGCACGCTGGTGGCATTTCACTGGCTGGTGCCGCTTTCACAGTGGCGTGGCTATGCTTACTCACTGCTGGTCCACTGGCATGTTCAGCCTCTTATACCAGACATTCAAATATGTAGCGTGGCATCATGCGTGTTGATGTGTTTCTGGCTTCAAGTTCAACACTCATTCAGAGTCGCCCTCTCCAACAATTCAGGGTTACCTCTCGGGTAGAAGCAATGGCCTTTTCTTTCATTTGACCCACAAAGTTGCACCTAATTCCAAGGACCTGCAGCACTACCTTACTCTAAATGCAACTTCATTGGTTACCAATGTCTAATACTTAGTTCAAACCAGACCACCACCTGACCAAGAATAAATAATATCATTACTACTAATAATAGACTAAAAAACAAAACATCAAAGAGGCCTGTAACTGCATTGGCTCTGCAGCATCCTTTCTTGCAAAAGTAAAGCTCAAAAGTACATCTGGAGATGATGCAGGAGTCCCCAGTCAAGCGGAAGTTCTGAGATTTGTTAGCAGCGTGCGAGGGTGTCAGCAGGACATCTACAGTGTGCGCTGAATTAAAGCCTCGGTAAAGGATCTGCTTTTCCAGCACTCGTGCATCTCTGATTCTGTCTGCTCTGGACAATGTTCCCTCAAGTTTCTGACAACACAGACACTTCCTACCGCCCACGCCGTCCCTCTGCTAGCTCTGCCTGTGTCCCTCTGCTATGGCGGCTCAGATTCTGCTGCGTGCCCATCCGTCTCATGCCTAAAGCTGCCCGTCTTTTCTTCGAGTGATACTTGATTTCCGAATCCCTCTCTAACCTGCTGGCTGTGTCTGACCTTCCCTCCCCCTCTGACCGCTGCGCGCCTGGTGAGTGCCACGTCGATGCAGAGGGTCGTTTTTCTGATCGGGGTTTTCTGGGTAATTGAAGAGGCCGGCTCTCTTCCTGGGAGAGCACCAGCGGGGGCTCATCTCCCGGGCCGACGGCCAGGAGGAGAAGGACGCCGAGTCAATGGCGCTCGCCTGGCATGTCTTCCAGTTTGAATTGACCTCACTGGAACCTGCGAGAGCAGCTGACTCTGCTGAGGAAAATGGCTGCACGAGATAAAGGGACGCTCCAAAAAGTAGCAGCATACACTCTGCACAACTAGAGATGGAGTCTGATTTAGTAGAGAGAGAGCTGAACAGAAAGGAAAAGCTGTCAGTTTAGAGGTTTATCTATTCTCAGTTCAGAAGAGTGACTAGAAGAACCAACATGCAAAGAGAGGCAACCCAAAATAACTTTTGGGGTGCGTCTGGGCTCACCAGTTAAGGGCTCAAAGTAGACTTACTGCAGGAGCAGGGCCCACAACCCTCTCTTAAGAAGGAGACGGTAGATAGTTGTCACATAGGATGGGTTTCAGTGGCGTAGTGTACTAGCGTCTAAAATGCCAGCCCCTTTCATGGACAGTGCGTCGAGTGGGACTTTCATTCTACTTTTTTTTCATTCTGCAAACACACTGTTGAAGACAGAACTAGCTTGCGTTGACAAGTCCAAACGGGTTTGTGGACTTTTACGGAACTGGACTATAAATGAGTCGGCATCAGCCGGGAGGCCACTGAAGGACAACAAAGAACTGGAGCGTCTGCAGGTGAATGTTTGGATTTGTGTCCTTCACGGCATTGATTCTCTCAAAGGGAAAAGATCCAGGAGGTGCCAAACCCAGCTGGATGGAGAAGTGGGGGGAAAGCGGCAGCTCTTGAATGGCCTCCAAGGCGGCGGCAAAATAACAGTTTTCGAGCTCTTTCCGTTTGTGTAATAGCTGCCACATTATGCGCTGCGTGCAATACCGGCGTATACAATCACTCAGCAAGACGAGAGGTGCGAGGAAAACATCCCGCCGGAGCTTCCACCGCTCCAACTCACCCAACGCAGCGCAAGCCAGAGAAAACATAAGGCCGTGATTCAAGAAAAGGCCATCCGGTGGGAGTGGGTTGCGTAAAGAGAAGCGTGAGTCACTGCTTGTTGAGATTAGCTGGCCTTTGGTTGGGCGTGCGGAGAACACAACCGCCCCGCGTTCGGCTGATGAAGGCGTGCGGGCTGCGGGCCCGAACCTCCATCCCCTCCATACCCTTCATTCCCTCCATCCCCTCCGCTGCCGGAGTGATGTGCTGAGCCGGGAGGATGCGGCTAAGCCGCTCCTGAGTTGCTGGCAGGGCCTGGGATTAACGTCCACACGCTGACTGAAGCCGCGCACAAACAACCCCCCTCTGCGACGTGAGAATGTGATGCTCAGGCAGAAGCCTCTCTGAAGGCTGAAACCATGACAGGTGCCACGGCAGCCCTTTGTGTCACCGATGACAAGCGGCTTTTAGGGGCAGAACGGTAGATCGATGCGTGAACTATAACAGAAAGTGCATAGATCTTCAAAAAAAAGACTCCTACCCTGTACCTCCCCACCCTCTCTACCACTCTTTCTGTACTTCCCTCTGTCTCCTCACTGTCACCACGGTTGCCTCTAACAGTCTGACTGGTGGTTTCCTTCTAGGTGGCTTATTGTCAGGTTGATGCTAACTGTAAAGCTGGACCTGCATTGGAAGTCGCTTTGGATAAAAGTGTCTGCTAAATGCATAAAGGTGTATACTGTGGGATGATACTCAGTAAGGACTGACAATGGGCTGACATTTTTGATGTTGTAGTTTTACAGTCTTGAATGGCCACAAGTGAGTTGCTATTTGTGCACGTGTTACAAACTAATCCGTCTTTATTCTTAGCTAAACACACATTAGTGATTGTGTTTTTTTTACTAAAAAACAATCAGTCTGCTTTATCAGGAATTATTATTTTCATAAAAATTAAAAATAGTTTCTTAACACCGATATGAGTCTCGGGACTGTTTGTGTTTTTTCAGGATGACATAATTAACAGTGCACAGGGGTTTGATGTACTCGTATAATTTTCCAAAGAGTATGATGTGTACCTTTGTGGAAAAACAAGAATCCAGGACAGGTAATTCTGATATGAATAAGGGAAGTCAACATTTAGATAAATGTGGAATGAAACGCCAGATCAAACTGAATCAGAGCTTGTTTAGTAGTCAGTTACATGTATACTGACATTTGGAAGGTATCTTTGTGGACCCACAGAAAAGGCTATAACTAGAATTAGATTTTTTTATATTAGCCGGGATTCTAATTCAAATTCAGTGAACCTTTGGATAGATTAAAGTTAGAAAGCCATTTAGCTAAAGGTGTGGGGACCTGAAAAAATTTGTTGAGGCAGAATGAGACTTTCAAGATTGAGTCTTATTTTGAGGGTGGCATAAAAGAAGGCATCAGAAAATTAATCACCTGGAAGAGCGCCATACAAGAGGTGAGCGTTTTTTATTCATTGACACAGGCGAATATTTCATTTAAAAAATAGAAGCCCTGTTCATCTGGCAGATAAGAGAATCCATCCCCTGAACCTCTCCCAATCTGCACTAGCCTGCTCATTCCAAGTGATCGACATTTCATATTCAATAACAATCATCTCCTCCTCTGCCTGCATGCCCTCTCCAACCTCCCGTGGGCAGCCACTCCATTCCAACATGGCTGGCAGGCAGGTTGCTGTGTGTGATTGGGGAGCCATCTGTTAGCAGACAGATTAGGTCCGCTTCCTCTGCTCTGCTGTCCAGGTCTAGCTCCGACTCAGGCAGCTTTGTAATCTGTGTACTGTGAACTAATGGGCTTTCGGAGTCCCGGGCGAGTCTACACCTGCGTCTCATCTTATTTGCTCAGCGTGGATGGTAACTAGCTCTGTGTCAGCAGCTCTGGATGGAGATAACTCAACATGAGAGAAATGGAAATGAGGAATGTTTTGTGAGGACAGCGGATACAAAGACCGATGTGTATAAAACTCCATTCACTGAACAGTAACTGACTCCTGCTAACTGTAGTCAGGATAAGATTGGATTTAGGACACCAGACATTTTCAACAGTGAGGCTTCATATTACTGAAATCTGCTAAAGTCGTCAGCTGGGATAGGCTCCAGCCCCCCCCCCCCCCACCCCCCTTGGAAATAAACGGTATGGAGAATGGAGGGATGCATGGCTTCATCATCTAACCAAGTCATCTAGATATGACTTTGCATCCTCTTCTCAAAAATATGTCAGTAAAATTAAATATCTATGTATTAAAATATCAAAATTTCAAACATCTGTAAGAAAGGAGAACATCAAAGCCTTGAAAATAAGCTTCAACTAAAAATTCACAAAACAATGTGATCCAACTTTGAGCAGCTTTCTGCACAGAATCCATATGTTGTTGTTTGCTCTCGTCAAACCGATATTCACCAAGCCGGCTCCTGTTTCCAGCGGGGAAAGAGAAATACGAGACTGACGGCTAAGTGTTAGGATTGCTCTGAGACATGCTTTGCTTTCATCTCCTGGCAAACAACTTCTGCCTTTATCAGGGTGCCGTTCCTCCGGCTCCACTCACTTAACAAGGAGTCCGTGGATCAAACCCGTCCCCTGACGCCTCCCGGCTCTCCCTCTGGTCTTTATATCTCTATAAAACAGCAGAAGTCAAGGGGTGACTTGGGCCTGGCTGTAAAACCCCTGTGAAGGCTTACAGGAAAAATACAAGGCGGGATGTTCCTGCGAGCGCCTTTAATTACAGTACTGCTGCTCTGCAAACAATGCTCCGCTAGAGGAGGAGGGCAGGCGCGCGCAGGGGGCCGGGAGCGTGGTGATGAGGATGATGTTGTGTTTCTGTTGCCTGTGGGGCTTATCTCCCCGACAGCACAGGAGAGCGTGTCTGAACCA